CCTATGTGTCGTATTTGAAGCCTATTGAGAAGGTAAGCAAGTGTATCGTTCTTTTTGGCATATTGTCCATGGAAATTTTTATCTAGATAGAGGTTGAGGAAAATGGTTGGTTTGGCACGGGATCACCCCGTGCCGATGATCCTATGGTGCATCCATTCAGCGTTAGTGTTCCTGACGAAGTTCTTGAGGTCTGTACGACTTTCAGGGATGGTTTTTGAATCTGCTTAAGTTTGCGATTTTTGGAATATTTTTGTTCTTCAGGACCTAAGAAGAAGACTCATGAACGCTCGGGTCTCCCATCGACATCTCGACGATTCCAACGATTTTTGGTATGGCTTCAACAGCGACGAATTGGAAGTGTTCAGAAAGTATTGGCTGAATAGCTATAATTGGAAGAAGCACGAAAACATCATTAATCAGTTCAAGCAATTCCAAACTGAGATAGAAGGACTAAAGGTAATTTCATACTTCAATATCCACCCTTAATTTTGTATATATATATTTTTAGATCCATTTTATCAGGGAACCAGCCGCATCGGGATATAAAAAAGTGGTCCCTCTGCTGATTGTTCATGGCTGGCCTGGAAACGTATTTGAATTCTACAAAATCATCCCGATGCTTACTGATCCCAAGAAACATGGAATTGACTCTGAGGTAAGATTTACCTTGGTGAAGTACTTTACGGGTAAACAAAGTTAGGGATGAAAATGTTGCATTCTTCTGCAACCTAAGAATGATGGAAAATGTGATAGAGAGGGGAAGGATTAAAATTGGTTTAAGATTAAAATGTTCAGCACTTTTTCCCATGCTGATCTGAATTTAGTCGTTCAAATTTCAAATTTGCTCTAACCACGCCCTTTTAGATGATTTTGAATTGGTCTTCAAGGACCTGATAAGTTAACCTTTTCAAGGTCCATAGATCTTGCAAAAAATTAGCGGGGTTATCCGAGGATACCGTTGCCTGTATAATCTTTCTTTAGATCGCTTTTGAAGTGATTGCTCCTTCGATTCCTGGTTATGGATGGTCAGATCAACCTAAGAAAACTGGTCCGCTCCAGAGATTTTACCTTCCAAGAGTTTGTAAATTGTTACCTTCGTAGGATTCAGCCAACTAGCTTGTGCACGAGTATTCCGCAAATTGATGGATAGACTTGGAATCAAGAAATATTACCTTCAAGGAGGAGATT